CTCAAGGGACACCACGGATGAAGCAATATGCTCAGTATACCGGTACACAAAATGCAATTTATTGGGAGCAACGTAGGGGACAGAATATTGTAATAACAGTGTTATGGCATCTGGAAGTGATTAATGTAGTATTATATCATGATTAAAAATATTGAAGACTTCCATCAAAAAATTAGTCACAATTCTGAAGAAAATATCTGAAATTGGAAGCTTAAATGGACTTCAGAAGGTCTCTTCAATGCTAGAAATGTTTGAAAAAAGATACTAAATGAAAAACCCAACCTTATTAAAGGTCCCTTAAATCTCAAGGCACACAGTTATTTGTGCTGCCTTAAAAGGGATGAATGGGTTTTCTCCCCCTTTCAGAAGACACTGTTCAAATGTTTTTCAGCGATAAAAGTAATTTCTAAATGACCCTGCATTCCCTTGCAACATATCTCCCAAACAAATAAGAACAAATACAGTTAAATTTAGATGGAGACCGAAGCACCTTGTTGCCTGTGGGTCCTAATAGTTGTATTCAAATTCAGTAAAGTCTACGCTGAGGTAGATACTGCCTGACCTCAGCTCACCCTGGGGTGTTCCAAACCTCAGGTGTCTGCTAGAAACATCGCAACAGTGAGACATAAGAGATTAGGCTCAATTTCCATTTTTAATCTTTACAGCAGGGTTAACTTTGCAAGGAGAATCAGGCAGTATGTCTTGTTCTCTATTATTTTATCAATTACTGTGTAGTGGCATGTTGGATACTAACCCAGATAGTAATCCAGTAATCCTTGGATAGTAATCTTTATTTTGTATTCTAGCTATAAGGAAGTCATGTGTTGTAGCTGACTGCTAAATATGTGTTTAGTATATTTTGTATACTCTATTTGTGAGGCAGAACATATATAAAATGGTTTTCCCTTATTTCCTTTTGTAAATAAGAATTTTACTGCGTTTATATCTACTGTAACCAAAAGAGCTGGCTTTTATATTTTATTCGCTTTTGTAAATTCAATTAAATTTTTTTCAGCTTATTGTTCTAGCAGTGAAAATTAAAGCTATTCTGCTTTAATTCAAAGCAAACTGTATATATTTATCCAATGAATACTTAGAAAAACAACATGGGTAAAAAAGGTGCTAATAAGGTATTGAATAAAATAGATTTGTTTTAGCAAGAATCTAAAGATAGTTGATCCTTACTTTGCCTGCCTAAGTAAAAATCAGATGCTCTTAGTGCATCCTGTAGGTATCAAATTCAGAATTTAATCCAGATGGATTCATGCCTTTTTTCCTTCTTAACCCATGCATCTGTGAACATGTATACACAGACATTGTTACAAAATTGAGAAAGTACATATTAAAACTTCAGAAGCTTGTCATACTAACCTTTACAAAATTCCTTACCAAGGAAGGAAGTATGTCTGATACTGTTATTAATTCCTATTATATAGATTGGTTACGTATTTGAAACACAATTCCTATTGGTTTGAA